TGGGCTGGGGAAACGTACCAGACTCCAATACTGGAGTCTGAACCTACTAGCCAGAGGGCAGCCCCCAGTGAGGCCCAGGGAAGACACCCCATCCCTTCCCATCCAACCGCTGGTACTGGGGAGGGTGTTGGGATTCCTACCAGGGGGCTGTCCCTGGAGCCTGCTGCGGGCTCCATCACCTGTATCAGCTTCTGGCTGATAGGTGAGTATTGAATGTGAAGACTCTTGCCATCTCTGTCTGCTAGAAGGGGTGAGGGGCTCTCTCTCTTTCTCCCCTTACCCTGATGCCTCCTGGCTGCTCTGATGGGGAGGGGGTGGGATCCTGCCTGCCTCCCAGAGCTTCCATGTGATTGGCCCTCCTCCCCTGTGAATGGTCGGGTTGTCACTGGGCAGCAGGTACTGAGTGTTGGACTCTTGCTCTTCCAGAGGCCGGTGACTTTCAAGGAGGTGGCTGTGTATTTCACCAAGGAAGAGTGGGCTCTGCTGGACCCCGCTCAGAGAGCCCTCTACGGAGACGTCATGCAGGAGAACTATGAGAATGTGACCTCACTGGGTAAGGATTCCCGTCCCCTCAGTTCTTAAAAGGGGAAATAAAGAGTTAAGGTTCACAGTGCACCCTCAGCTTTGCCCTGCTGGCCCAGGGCACGTTGCTGGAGTGCCTGCGGAGAAATGCTCTTGTTCAAATCTGAAGAACATAAAACACACAGTGGCATGTTCTTAGTCCTTCCTTCTGGTGATCAATACATTTTAAGGCCAGGGGAGACAATTAGGTCATCTAGTCTGACCTCCTGTGTAATACAGGCCATGGAGTTTCATCCAGTTACCATTGTAGTACACTGAATACTTTGTTTGATGAAAACATCTTCCGGAAAGGCATCCTGTCCTGATTTGAAGCCTTCAAGAGATGGAAAATTGCCCCTTCCTTGGATAGTTTGTTAACCTTTGCACCACCCTCCCAGTGACATTTGCCAGCTCCAGGGCTGGGGGATAAGGGCAGAGTTAAGGTTGCATTGCAGGGGTGGTGTGTAGTTTAATTCTTCATTTCCTGGTTTTCAGAGGTTTTATTTTTCACCACCATCCACGTGCTGGAAGGGCCCGAGGCAGCACTAGGCAACCTTCACTCTGCTTCATGTACTTTATGGGCGTTTAATTTCCTTGATTTCCTTGATTTTGTGTTTATTGGACTTTTTTGCCACTGTAACTGCATCAACACTACAGCTTTTGCTGCAATTTATGTCAGGTAGGGATGAGATTTTTCACATCGCTAACTGACAGAGCTATGGGCTCAGAGATAGTTCCAGCACTTCAGGTGACAGTCCCAGCACTTCAGGTGACAGTCCCAAGGGCGTCTCTGTGACCCAACCCGTTACAGGAGGATTTGGTGGAGGGTAGGAAGGTGAGGATTCAGGGAGTCAGAGATTGTAGCACTTCACTGAGGCTGCTTTTGCTGAAGTCTCTAATGACCCGTCCCTAGGCAGAGCTCAGAACCAGCACTCCATCCTCCTCGGCACGTCGGCTGTCTGACACCACTGACCATGGTCGTTGTCTTGGAATCTGATCTTCCCTTATCCTCTCTGCTTAGGGTTAGGGTAGGGAGAAGTAGGTAGGAGAAGTTGTAACTGGCTTGTTCTGCATCATGGGATGTTTAGGTTGGATATTAGGAAAAACTTTCCAGCTGTGAGTATAGATAAGTACAGGAATACGTTACCAAGAGAGGTTGTGGAATGCTGGTCGCTGGAGGTTTTTAAGAAGAGGTTAGACAGATGGTCTGTGTATACTTGGTCCTGCCTCTGGACTGGAGGATGGACTAACTGACATCTTGAGGTCCTTTTACCCCTGTGTTTCTGTGATTTGATGATTCCTTATCCTAGCCCTTCACTTTGACCTTGTCTCCCTCTGGAGAATGGGGGCTTTATTTACTAGTTTTTTTAAATGAAAAATATGCATGGGTCAGCTTCCCTCTCAATTTGCTTTGTTAGTCACTGGGTGTGAAGGAGTGAATTCCTCTTCTGGGATGGGGATGTAATTCCTGTTGAAGTCGCATAGGCCTGCCTCCGTTACATGGAAACACTACCAAGGACTGTCCACATATGTATGAAGCACACTGAACAATGGAAGTCTCAAAGACTGGAGGTTAATGTGTAATGACTGGGTTCGAGGGAAGCAGAACACGGGAATACAACTGCCTTGCTGAGCTGCAGTGTCTATACCAGAAGTATGTGTACCCCTGGGTTCCGCAAAGGTCTTCAAGAGTTGCTATGGAACAATCACTGGCCAACTCAGTACAAAGTAAAATTTCATACAATGACTTGCTTATCCTGATCTATATACTATACACTGAAATGTAAGAACAATTTTATATACCAATTATGTATTTTATAATTATATGGTAAAAATGAGCAAGTCAGCAATTCAGTGTGCGGTGACTCTTTTGTATTTTTATGTCCGATTTTGTAAGCAAGTAGTTTTTAAATGAGGTGTAACTCGGAGGTACGCAAGACAAATCAGACTCCTGAAAGGGGCACAATAGTGTGGAAAGCCACCAGTCTACACAGCTGTTTTTAATGTGCTAGCACCTACAGTGGAGCACCCATAGGGAGAGACATCTCAAAGAACCATGATTGATGCACAAGTTGAGTAACTTCCTCTTTTGCGTGTTACCTGATCTCACTGGTCTTCTTTCCTCGGAGCAGGGTTCCCAGTTTCCAAACCCGAGGTCATCTCTCGGCTGGAACGAGGGGAAGAGCCGTGGGCCCCAGATCGCCAGGGCTCAGAGGAAAGAGAGATCCTGAGAGGCAGCAGCATGGGTGAGGGATCATTAAACCTACTCAGTGCTTGAAGGAAACAGCTGGGATTCCCAACAAAGACCTTGTGAGGTCTCTGGGTTCAGGATGGTCCCTCAGGGCAGATACTGTTCATGGCTTCCTACCCATCCTAACTCCTGGCAGTAGTTCCTTCCCCAAACTCCCGTCTCCCTGGGGAGTGTTTGGATGGGAACTGGATGCAGAATTGATCCCTCCCACCCCCACCCCTTTGGGGAAGAGTTTGGGGAAATTCAGTCCCTGTTTTTTCTCCATCTCCAGCTATTCTCTTGGTTTGTTCCCCCCTTTTCCCTTCTGCTTTCTGAGGTTTTTCTCTCTCTGTCCCATCAGGTGAGGGGATGGTGAGAGAGACCATGGAGCAGAATCCTCAGCAGGAAGATGATGAAGTGGAACCACAGGGGACATTATTGCAAAGATGCACAGGGAGTGTGTCCAGGAGTTGTGAGCAGGGAAAAGGCTCTCAAGGGCTGCACGGGACAGAGATGCGGCAGAGAAACCAACCAGTGCAGAAAGTTGGAATATCTGTTAATTATCAGGAAACTCACAGAGGGCTCAAGGAAACCACGGCCCAGCAGAGAATCCTGATGGGAGAGAGAAATAACACAGGCTTTGAGTGCGGGAAAAAGTTCAGGAGGCGCTCACACCATCAGAGAATCCACACTGGAGTGAGACCCTATGGATGCTGTGAGTGCGGGAAAACTATTCAGTCGGAGCTACGACGACGA